CTTTTTGAGACAGGGTCTCCCTGTAGCCCCAGCTGTCCTGGAACTCATTTTGTAGACCAGGCTGGCCTTGAACTCACAGAGATCCGCCTGCCTCTGCCTCCCAAGTGCTGGGATTACAGGCATGCGCCACCACACCCGGCTTGATGTTGGTATTTTTATGGGGATTATATTGAATTTGTAGATTGCTTTTGGTGTCATACTTTTCCCATTGCTGTGATAAAATACCCTGACAAAAGCAACCTAAGGGGAATGGGCTTTTTGTTTGTGGCTCACAGTTGGAAGATAAGAGTGCATGGTGGTGGTGAAGTTCTGGCTGCTGGAGCTTGAGGCAGCTGGCCACATGGTATCCAGAGTCAGCAGTCAGAGACTAATGATAGCTGTGCCCAGCTTGGTTTGTCCTTCCTATGCAGTCCAAGGCCCAAGCCCAGGGAATGGTGCTAGCTGCCCTGAGTGGATCTTCCCACCTCAGCTAGATAATCCTCACAGGTGGGCCTTGAGGCTTGTCTCCTAAAGGATTTTAACTCCCATCAAATTAACACTTATTACCACCAGAGTAAGATAACCATCGTTACAATATTCTTCCAATTCATACTCATGGGAGAGCTTTTCATCTTCTAGTGTCTTCAATCTCTCTGAGTGTTTTAAAGTTTTCATTATAGACATCACCCATTTCCTTAGTTTATTCTGAGGTTATTTTTTTCTTTTTTGAGGCAATTTGGAATGGGATTTTCCTGATTTCTTCCTCAGTATGTTTGTTACTTCTAGCAGAGTTCAGAGTGGAGAAGGTGGACACCCTTGATTTGTTCCTGATTTTAGTGGAAATGCTTTGTTTTTTCCCATTTAACATAATGTTGGCCATCGTTTTATCATATATAGCCTTTATTATGTCTTTATGTTCTTTTTGTTCTGAGTTTTCTTCAGGACTTTGATCATGAAGGGATGTTGGATTGACTTGAACCCAACCTATGAGGTTCTGTAGCCGTGTTCTTAACCACTATGAAACTATTTGAAAGCTAATGAAAATGCATCTGCTGCAGAGAGTGCATTAGTTTTGGGCTATTTAATAAACAGTGTTTGTCAGCCTGACTGGTTCCTGTTGGAAAGCCGAAAGACTGGGCTGTAGCTGGAATATGTGATTCCTGAGATTAGGATCTCCAGGATGGCAGGAAGACGATGTCCAGCACAAGCTCCTAGAGAACAGGATGTGTTGGGGTCTAAAGTTTGAACCAGTATAGTTTCCAGTACTGTTGTTTGCCTGGGAGCTCTTTTAATAGCATTTAATAAGTTCAATTATTTTTCTCCCTCAGACACATTTAATTAAACAAGGTACCAAAATACTAGCACTCTTGCCTGGAGAGAGAAAATCTAGTATTTCTTTTACTCAAAGAAGCAGCACTCGGCAGACCAGTATGACTTCCTTCGTCACCCTGAGACCAGGTATGATGATCTGGGGAACTTCATTAGCCAAGGACTAAAGGAGTGCGTTCATTTCTCCACATTGGAACATTAATGAGATGTAAATGCTATGTTAAATTTCTGACCTGTGTTATAAAACAAAAACTCAATGCTTTAAAAAAGTTTTTTTTTTTTTTTATTTTTTTATTTTATGAGTGTATTGCCTACAAGGCAGGATGAGCAACGACAAAGTTATTTCAAGAGTCTAAGACCTCTGTACTAGGTAGTAACAGTAACTGGTATTGGACTCAGAAAAGCCAACAAAATTCTGCTCACAGCAGTTTTCTCAGTGCAATTATCTACTCTTGTTTTATTAGGAATGACAAATGGTGGTGACCAGAAAAGTAGTTCATCTCCCATAGAAAGTCACCTCAACAAAGAGTCCAAGAAAGATGCAACGCGGATAGACAGTTTGGTTCAGGAATTGGGAGGTGATTGCTTGGTACCCCCTTTGGCCACTTCAACTCCTGCAGATATCCAGGAAACTGGACTTTCTCCTCAGTCTCTCCAGACTTCTGACCACCATGGTTTGGGAACCCCAGTTTTGACTGTGCTGTCTTTGCCCCAGCCTGACATCTTGGTGTGTGCTGAAGAGCACAGAGCCTCACTGGCTTTGTCCTTTACCCAGGACTTGGAAAATTCTTGTTTGCTGAACCAAAGAGAGAACAAGAGGAAAAGGGAATGGCTTCATGGGTTGAAGACCATCTGTCCAGGCATAGAAAGCCACGTCAGATCACCTGAGGGTAAATGCCATCATTGCTCAGACAAAGCTGAACTGGGAAAGAGGTCTGCCAAAGAAAATAGGCAGGCTCCTGTACACCTTCAGACCTCCAGGGAATCTTGGAGTAGGAAAAAAACACGACCAGTGACAAAAAGCCTTTGTCCTCTTTCTCTGTTTTCCTGGGACAGTGAGAAAGACAAAGACTCCTGGAGTCAGCTTTTCACTGAAGATTCCCAAGGCCAGCAAGTTATTGCCCACAACACTAGAATGCCTTTCCAAGATGTAACCAATGCCTGGAATCAGGGCTTGGGACAGTTTCCTGGCATCCCTTGGGCTCAGGGCCAAGATGGACCTACTCAGTTACATCTGCAGCCAGACCTGCTCTTTACCCAAGACTCTGAAGGTAATCAGGTTATCAGGCACTAGTTCTGAATGTTTGTGTGAGAGTTTGGCTCTGTACATGTCTTGAAATGGCAGAGATGCAGGAAAGTACCTTGTAGGGGGCCTGGGTATACATGAGGGTTTAGGTGAGAAAGTCAGGTGGAATGAAGCTGTTGTCATTGTGGAACATTTTTCTTTTGTAAATAAAGCAGGTAGTGCCACTGGTTGACTGTAACATCATGCTTTTTCCTCAGGAAGGTGGTGCCTGGTGCATTCCAGAAATGAGTTTGATGAGCAGAATGCAGGGCAGGAACTAATCACTAAAAAGCACAGAGCTGCTACCCTGCTCCAGGTGCCTGGCAATGCCTCTGCTTCCTACAGATGTGTGCTCTTTTGATCTCTGACTGTTCTCACCCACTCAGCCTAAGCCTGGGCCCATTATCCCCAACTGCATTTTTTTGTCTTTTTGAAGCAGGGTCTCCCTGTAGCCCTAGCTGTCCTAGAACTCAATGTAGACCAGGCTGGCTTTGAACTCACAGAGATCCACCTGCCTCTACCTCCCAAGTGCTGGGACTACAGGCGTGTACCACCACGCCCGGTCCCAACTGCATTTTAAGAAACTGTCTCCCAGAGCTGGAGATGGCTCAGTGATTAAGAGCACTGACTGCTCCTGCAGAGGAGCTGGGTTCAGTTTCCAGAATCCACATGGTGGGTGGCTAACAATTATCTGTAACTCTAGTTCTAGAGGATCCAATGCCCTCTTCTGGCCTCCAAAGGCATTGCATACACATTGTGCACTTTTAATGTACATGCAAGGCAAAACTTGTACATTTAAAAAAAAAAAAAAGTTAAAAACTAAAATTATCTCCCAACGCAAGTGTATGGAGTGGTGGAAGGGAAAGGTAAATGGCTGATGGTACTTTTACTTTTTTGTTTTTAACAGTTATTCTCTACCCCAAACCTGAGCTATATAACAATCGAGAGAGAACTATTAATCCTCTCCCACAAGGGAAAGAGAGTCCTCTTTGGAAAGTTGGCTCTGGTGGTAACTAAAACATTACCAATTTTTTTTTTTGAAAAAGCAGCTTTTAGGGGCCTGGAGAGATGGCTCAGCAGTTTAGAGTACTGGCTGCTCTTGCAGAGGGTACAGGTTCAATTCCAAGTACCCCATGTGGCGAGTAATAACAATCTGTGACTCCAGTCCCAGGGGATCTGATGCCCTCTTCTGAACTCCAAGGGCATTTGCACAACATGGGTGTGCTTACACATATGCAGGCAATATACTCATACACATAAATAAAAAATTTAAAGCAACTATTAGCTGGGTTATTGAGGTGGTATGCCTATAGTCCTAGTACTCAAGAGACAGCCAAGAAGATTGCCTTTTGAGTTCAAGACCATCTTAAGCTACATAGTGAGTTCTGGGCCAGCCTGGGCTAGAAGGGGCTCAGGTGATAGAGTGCTTGCCTAGCATGCACAAAGCCCTGGGTCCTAACACTTGAGACAGGCAAAAGGATTGCCATTGAGTTCAAGACCAGCTTAAGCTACATAGTGAGTTCTGGGCCAGCCTGGGCTAGAATGACATCCTAGAAGGGGCTCAGGTGGTAGAGTGTGTGCCTAGCATGCATAAAGCCCTGGGTTCAATCCCTAGCACTGTATAAACCAGGCATGGTGGTGTGTGCTGAAATTCCAGGCACTCAAGAGGCTGAGGGCAGCCTGTGCACCTTAGTGAGAAACCTCTCAACAGACAGTAATGAAAAGGGCAACATTTAAAAATGATGTGTATGTTGGAGTATGGGCATGTGTGTGCCACATTAGAAGATAACATCCAGGAGGTGGTTCCCTCCTTCCACCGCCATAGGGTTGCAGGGTTTGACTCAGAAAGCCAGCACTTTTACCTGCTGAGCCATCTTACTGGCCCAAGGCAGCGTTTTAATAATGTATGTTCTTTCACTGTCCTGAATCCAACCCAAGCCCAAGTCTGATTTGGCTTGTTCCACCAAAGCAACATTCCCGGTGCAGCAGCTTCTCATAAGTGAGTCACTTGAACAGCCTCGAGAAGACAAAAAAATAAATTTTATGGAGCTGCTTTTAGAGGAGTTGGGTTGGGTGAGCAGGGGGCCAGGGTATCTAGAAAGAAGGAAGAAACCCCCTGGGGAAGTTTTAAGAGCAAGAAAGAGGGGAAGCCAGGAACCTGCTTCAGAAAATTCAGACCAACAGGAGCCCTTCATCCCTAAAAGCTACTGTGGTCACAACTCCAAGATGGACAGAGAGAATACACTTTCTCCAAATCCTTCATTTAATCTCAGGTAGTGCTTCAACTCAAACACAGTATACATACCATAAAGAAAAGGGCCCCGAGGGCACTCGAATCATGCATGATGTGGTAGGTACAAACCTCGGCCCAACCCAGAACAGTTAGTCAGTGGCCTGGAAGAAGGGTGGCATCTCTTTCCCCTCCCCATTTCTCCTTCCTAGCTGGACTTAAAAGTCCATGGAAGAAAAAATTGTTAGTATACTGATGAGGCCTTGGAGGGCAGATCTGGTTGTACAGTATTATAAAATATGTTTAAGAAAAAATAGCCCAGGCCTCCCAGTAGCACTCCCAAGTATCAGCTGGTCCAGTGGCCTGACCTCTATTATCTAGAGAGGGAAACGGTGATTGCTGGGCATTGGTGTGGGTTACGATTGAGCAGCATAAGATCTTCCCTGCCCTGTGAACAAGTACATTAAGAGCCCCTTCCCCTCAGCTCTGCTGCAAAGAAACTGCTGAGTGAAAGCTGTGCAGGAAATGTCCGATGAGACCATTTATGGAGGCTAATGCAGTGGTAAGTCATTCACTTAGGGCCTATTTTCATACAGGAACAAGAAAAAAACAAAACTTCCATTTCACCCCTTCAATGGCGACACCCCACCCTACACGATGACCTGCAACAAATGTCTCAGCTCAAACCACAGACCTCAGCTTCTGCTAAGGTTGAAGTAAGGGTAACAGAATCCAGCTCTTCTCTTTCAGCCCAAGCCCTAGCTCGTCAGCAAGACGTGCAGATTCTGAGAGGCAGAAACATCTGCAGTGAGGAAGGCAGCTATTGAAGGAATTCAGGAGCATGAGACTGAGTTCTGCAGAGTTGGAAGTGCTGTCAGTTTCCCTTTCTACTGAAGTCTTCTTCCTTCAGAGCAAACTTCCTCCTTAGGACCTCAGAGATGAGCACAGCAGGGTCCTCTTCCTTCATTAAACTCCGACTCCTGGAGACACAACAGTAGCTTGTATTTAGGGAGTTCTTGCTTTGTGACTATGTACACGTAATCTATTCAGTCTTCACAGCAGTTCTGTGAAGATGCTATCTCAAGTTCCCCTTGTCTATGGGGACTCACGTACAGAAGGTCATAGAGTCATAGTTAGCCTCTGCCCTTTAAACCAAGCTAGCTGGCTCCAGACTTCATCTCTTAACTGGAGTGCTTTACCCTGCCTGCCTGCCTTTCTTTTTGAGGCTTTTTGCTTTTATTCTTTGGAGTTTCATACAATGTATTTTGATCATGTTTCCCCCTCCCCCAATTCCTCATAGATCTCCCCCGACTTACTGTTTCTTAAATGGCTGTAAGTATGGACAAAACAAAGGACCATCAATTTGTTGGAATTCTAGCCTCTATTAGTACTTCTCAAGAGGGTCTACAGGAAAGATGACAGATGGCCCAGCCATTCCTACCTCATTAGTTCTGGAGAAAAGATGTGCTAAAGACACCCTACCACCAACCCCCACCCCCACCCCTTAGGAGAGCTAAAGTTCTTTTTTTCCCTCATTTTATAAGAGATCAAAATCATAGCAAAATAATTGCATTATAAGTAACTGTGGCATCAAAACAAACTTTAGATCAGGGTAGGCTCCAATTTCTTCCTTCATTTACCATGAAGAGTGTTCTAGATGCTTTGAAATAGTTGCCTGAAATTGTACTAAACTTAAATACATATGTCCCCAGGAAGGTGTTTTAATAGTCTTTCAGGGCAATGCAGAAAGGCCAAGATCGACCATTAGATCTGAAAGGGATCGCCTTTGGTCTGTCACATTTCTGAACTTTGGCTGACCTGGCTGCCATCTGATTATCAGTTATTTTGATTACAAGAGGGAACAGATACCTAGACACAAGTGGGGGAGGGGGGTTGGCAAGAAGGGCCTTGGATGTAGTCTGGTCTAAGAAACCAAGTAGAAGTATAAAGCTGAGCTGGAAGTTCATGCCTGTAAATCTAGCAGGAAACTGAAGGATTACAAGTTCAAGACCAGCTTGAGCTACAGATGAGACAGACATGTTTTAGAGTTAATCTGTAAGTCACTGCGACTAGAAGGTGGGCTCAAGGTGAAGCAGCAGCTGAATCTGGGGAAGTGAGAGGTCAAAGAACCCCTGGTGAGCGTGACCTAGATGGCTGAGGCCAGACAGGAAGCCAAGAGTGACTTCCCTAAAGAACAGCTGCTTTCCCTGCACTAACAAATGTAGCTATACTGCCTGGGCGCAGGCCATCAAGGCTTGGATCCCAAACAAGAGCAGGCTCCTCTGTGGAGTCCCAGGAAGCTGCTCAGACCATATCTGGAGAAACACTGCAGTGTGGTAGCTCCCTCAGGCTGAAGCTCAAGGGTGTCTCTAGTAGGTACATTTCTCAAGGGGATCAGAGGGTAGCCTTGTTTTAATTCCAGGCCTTCCCAAATTCTCTCAGATTTCAGCAAAATCAACTGCAACTCCATTCCTTGCGTATTCTGCTTTTGTAAGTTTATGGAGTATTTTTTTTTTTTTAATGTGTATGCCTGTATTGCCTGCATGTAGTAAGAGCACTCATGTCCTGCAATGCCTAAGGAGGTCAGAAGAGGCTGTCTAATCCCCTGGGACTAGAGCTACGGACAGTTAGTGGCCATGTGGGTGCTGGGATTCAAACCCAGGTGTTTTGCAAGAACAACCAGTGTCCTTCACTGCTGAGCCATCTCTCCAGCCCCAGTTTATGGAGTATTTTTAACAAACCTAAGCACTTCTGATGGGCAGCCAGATTTAGGAACTACCTATGAATCTTAATATATGTCATAAACCTCCAATTTTGAAGCATAGAACAAGGGGGCACAGCTACTAGCATTATGAAAACTGAAAGATGAAACCATCTAGAGAAAGAGGTTAGACCACACTTGTGAAATTCCCACCAGTCTTAGTGCTTGGTTGAAGTGACTTAACAGAACAAATGGAGTGTTGCTTTTTCCTCAAACTGGGCCCTAGGGGGTCAGCACACCTTATGAAGGTAGCAATACAGTTACTACTGAGGACTTTGTCTGTTTTATTAGATCATTAGCCAGGGGTGACTTAAACAGATCACCAGAGCTCCTCAGATACTTACAGATCTTGGCTCTGTTTTATCCGGTGGAAATCCTTCAAGATACCCATCATGTCTGCAAAGCTGCTGGCCTTGGACAGAGAGATGCAGTCATCTTCTTCAGACGAGCTGCAGGTAGCTTTATGTTCTGGTTTGCAACATTCAGGGCTGGCAGAACAAAGCAGGGGGACTGTTGGAAGCTCAGGGACCTCTACCTCAGTCTCCTCCGTGATGTCACTAATGACAAAGGAAGTTGTAGAGTGGAATGAGGATCCAAAACAAGGTAAAGGAGAAGAGACATTTGAACTTCCTGGAGATAAGAAATCTGGCGTTAATGAAGCCGAAGCTGAAAGAGAAAACAATAGGTATGATGGACACTGGGCTATAATGCAGCAAAGATACCTTCTCATCACAACCCTGCCTGCAGAACATAGTTATTTCCTGAGCTGACACCACGACATTCTGAGAGTACTTAGGACGGTTATCTGTAGCCAGTGGAGGGGATTTGCCACTATGTTTCCCACTCAGGGAACAGACATAGAGGAGCACTGGGCTCTTCCCACTGTCCATGAGAGAAAAACCCATCCCCAAAGGTCCTGGCTCTTACCACTCCCACTGCAGTGAGCTATAGATTAGCAGCCTTGTCTTAAACTGAAGCAGCCACTGAGCATATTGATATGGAAAAGATTCACTTGTTGGTTGTCTGTGCTTCTGGTCAGGGCAAGTTCCTAATTATTTCCAGTGGCTCTGCCTTAACTGGACACAGCAAGTTAGACAGAGAGGTGATCTTGGGCAGGAAGGACAAGGAGAGGGTAATAGGTACTTAAGGGGATATGTCTCATGGTGCTGGTAAGGAATGCTTATTATATTGAAAAGTGGGTTCTGCTTAAAGATACCTGGAAAAGGGTATTGTTTTTCTTTTTTTGGTCTTGAGAGAGGGTCTCCCTGTAGCTCCAGCCAGCCCAGAACTTACTATATAGACCAGGCTGGCCTTGAACACACAGAGATCTAACTGCCTCTGCCTCCCCTCCCGAGAGGTGGGATTAAAGGCGTGGTATTGTTTTTCTAGCTAAGAGAAAGAAATTTCCTGGTGTCACTGGTTAAGTGAGGCTCTTGTTCCTAAGGAAACCAGTCAATCCAAAATGACCAGAGGCCAACATCTATCTGGGCCTCAGGGCAAACCCAGAGCCCTGAGTCTACATCTTCCTGATTCACAGACCTCATTTTCCTTATCCTTATCTTGCCCAATAACCAGGGAAGAAGGCAGCGTGCCGTGGTCTAGCCCTGAATCCAGCTCCTACCTGCATCAGCTGCTACTATCTTGGCAATCTGACTGCGCAGGTGGCTCAGCTCATCTTGCAGCTCTGTAGTGCGGCTTAGGGCAGGCAGGGCTGGCTTCTTCAGGGCTAGGAGCCTCTCCTCAGACCCACGTAGATTGGGCACTGAGGCATTTCGCTGCATGACAATCAGAGGGCTAGGCTTCCAGGTGTGTCTCAGGGGGCGCGTATCGCTCCTGGGCCAGAGAAAGACAAGTATGTCTCAGCACAGACAGCTGGTCACGACATCCCTTATTAAACTCCTCCACCCTACAAGTTCTGTTCCCTTCTGAGTCCACAGCTCTCATTCCTACTGCCTTTAGCCTCTCATAAGTACCCTCCTTGCTGACTGCCACGTATAGAAGCTCCATATTCCCTAGCACACTGACTTCTGCCTCAGCTACCTGACCCGGGCATATGTTTCCTCTTCATCTGCAGCAATCCAGGCGATGTCAGCCAGAGTAGGGACTGGGGGCACATCTCTCAAACAGAGGTCAGAGATGTTGGGCAGGGTCTGTGGGAAAGCAAAATCCACCAACATTTATCAATACCATGATACCTAATCGTAACAAAGTGGGGCATCTAATCCAGCACTGTAAGAAGGTGTCCTATGGTAGTCGAAAATTGTTCCTGGTTAGAAACAGCTCCAAGAAGGCTAATACAGGTTTGTGGGACTACAAACAAGTCAGAGTATTCAATGGGACTGGCCTGAGTTATCTTTAATTTGATAAGATTACAGGCCTGGGCACTATACCTAGTGGGATTTATTTATCTTAAAGATTTATTTTTATTATTTAATGTGCCTGAGTGTTTGCCTGCATGTGTGCTTATCATGTGCATGCCTGGGAGGCCAGAGAGTGTTGAATCCCCTGTAGCTACAGTTAGAAATGGTTGTGAGCTACCATGTAGGTGCTGGGTCCCCTCTAAAAACAGCAAGTGCTCTTCTCTATCCCACAGTGGGATTTCTTAAAATAGTCCCTCAACCCAAATGAACATCAACCATGAGAGACTCAGAAAGTGACATGTTGAATGAAAAGTTAGGATTCAATCATCATGTTGATTAAAAAACAAGCTTCTAGCCCGTGGTGGTGCACGCCTTTAATCCCAGCACTTGGGAGGCAGAAGTAGGCGGATCTTTGTGAGTTTGAGGCCAGCCTGGTCTACATAGTGAGTTCTAGGACAGCTGGGGCTACAAGGAGACCCTGTCTCAAAAAAGATAAAAAACAAACAAAAAAATACAAGTTTCTAGCTGTGCTTGGTGGCACACACCTTTAATCCTGGCACTTGGGAGGCAAAGGCAGGCGGATCTCTGTGAGTTCAAGGCCAGCCTGGTCTACATAGTGAGTTCCAGGCCAGCCAGGACTACAGGGAGACTCTGTCTCAAAAAACACCCCCCAAAAAAAACCCAAAACAAGCTTCTAGAAAAAACAGGAACTACACTACACTACAAGACTGTTAGTGTTATGACTATGATAAAAGCCTTTTCTCTTTTACTTTTCATCATTTTAATTTATCTTTAATACTTTAGATGGTTAAACTTAATAAGGCAGGAATGTTTCCTTAACTACTTTAAGGATCAAGAAAATGAAGCACACCTATATAGGAACACCTACACACAAGTTTTGGGTTTTTTGAGACAGATCTGTAGCCCAGGCTGGCCTAGAACTCATTGTGCTATCCAGACTATTTTCAGATTCATGACATTCCTTCTGCCTCAAGCTCTCAAGTGCTGAGCCACCACATTCAGCTCTTATACACAAGTTAAGTGAAAATATTTCTGCTACAAACTGTTTGGCAGGATCAGGGGTCATTAGCTTCTTTTATGTAAAGAATGGGGACTCACAGCAGTTAAATGATAACTTCAAGGTCATACAGAGTACTTCCACTGACCCAGGCGCTGCTGTTCCATTTAAGGAAGTTTCCATTTGCTTTCTTAGATTAGCTCTGAATGCTCTAGGCAATTAAATGAATTATACAGTGCCTGACAAACAGTATGTGTTCAGTAAATGCCAACTAGTATTAATACCATTATACATGTCCCTCCTTTGAGGGAGTCTATGTCCTTAATGCCATTGCCCACCAGCATCTGGACAATGGCCTAAAGTGTACAGTCAGGCTGGGTGAGGTGGCGCATGCCTTTAGTCCCAGTACTTGGGAGGCAGAGGCAGAGGCAGGTGGATCATTCTGAGTTCAAGGCCAGCCTGGTCTACATAGTGAGTTCAGGTCAGCTGGGACTACAGGGAGACCCTGTCTCAAAAAAAAAAAAAAAGACCAAAAAAAAAAAGACCAAAAAAAAAAAAGCATACAGTCAAATGTGGGATAACTCCAATAGTGCCATAGTCCTAACTATACTTCTCTGTTTCTGATGCTTCTGAGCGCCGAGGATCATGTCCTTCCTGTGTCCTTAAGGCAGTTCTGGATAGTCTGTGGTCATGAAACATACCTATATACTTCCAGTTCTGACTCTTAATACCAACCCTGATACCACTTCTAACTCTGGATCCAGTTCCTACACAGATCTGCAGTTAGCATCTTATATATAAACATGGCTCTCATTTCATTGTCCACCTGGGCCCAGGTCCTTTCATGCACATATTTCTCCCTCCTCTGTATGGCAATCAGTCTTTTATGCCTCTGCTTCCCACATTCACACACCATAACCATTTGGCATGGAGCAAGAGCCTCACCATGAGTTCCTGGACAGAGGCACCTGGCTCTAATAAACACTAGGTAGGTTTCTACTGCAGACACATGTAGAGACCTAGGCCAGACAGGACTCTGCTATTGAGCAGATGACAAAGCCTCCCTAGACACAGCTAAGCCTAAAGTAGTTTGTTTTTTTATGTGTATGAGCATATTGCCTGCATGTATGTAAGTGCACCCATGTCATGCAATGCCCACAGAGGTCAGAAGACGGCGTCAGATCCCCTGGAACTGGAGTTATGGACAGTTGTTAGCTGCCATGTGGGTGCTGGGAAATCAAACCTGGGTCCTCTGCAAGAGCAGCCAGTGCTCTTAACCACTGAGCCATCTCTCTAGCCCCATAAAAAACTTATTTGGCTGGGCATGGTGGTACACGCCTTTAATCCCAGCACTTGCGAGGCAGAGGCAGGTGGATCTTTGTGAGTTCGAGGCCAGCCTGGTCTACATAGTGAGTTCCAGGACAACTGGGGCTACAAGGAGACCCTGTCTCAAAAAACAAAAACCAAAAAATTTTATTTAATCAGGGTCTCCCTGGAGTACCAGCTGGCCTGGAACTATCTATGTAGACCAGGCTGACCTTGATCGCATAGAGATCAAAAAAAATTTTTTAAATAAAAAATCCGGGTCACTTAGCAGAAGCAACAAAAATAAGATTCAAGATTATTAGTTTATGCCAGGCATGGTGGTGCACACCTTTAATCCTAGCACTTCAAAAGCAGAGGCAGGCAGATCTCTCTGAGATTGAGGCCAACCTTGTCTACAAAGCAAGTTCCAGGACAGTTGGGGCTACAGGGAGACCCTATCTCAAAAAATTAAAAAAAAAATTGAACAATTACTAATTTATGAGCAAACTGGAAGCCTGACTTATGGTCACAGGTCTGTATGCAGTCAGAAAGGCAGTGACCAGGATCCATTAGAAGCACTTAGTAAATATGTTTTGTCAAAATGAAAAGTGACCAGGAAAGGAGGCAAATGCCAAGAGGTCTGTGGCAGAGAAGCAGCCTCACCCCCTACCCTCTGGGCTTCTATTTTTTGTGCCCTTCCAGTGCACTCACCTCAAAGGATGCCCGGGGACATGGTTTCAGGGGCAGGTTGGTCCCAATTCTTCTGACTACACTTCGAGCAGCCCCATGTGGCTTGTTTTGCCAGATTGGGATAGTCTAGAGAAGAGAAACAACAACCTCAGGAGTCCAGCAACTGTCCCTGCTGTCCCTTCTATCTCTTCTGGGAGCAAGTCAATCATAAGGATAGGTTCTCTATCTATACCTGCTGTTGCTAAGGTGGTCAGTGATTGAGAGAGCCCAAAGAAGGGACTAGAATTAACTGGGTGTAGGCACTACTTAGGTTCCCTCCCCTTTCTCCACACTGAAAGGTGAAAACATGGACCCCAGAAGTGTCCCTAAAATCACAGTAGGATCTTCCCTGGGGGAGGACATGATGACACCTTGCTCCAGTTCTAAGCTTTCAGGGGAAAGGAAGAATCAACTGGAGTCTCAGGGCCTTGCACAGTTCTTCAGCAAGCCCAGCACTCAACTCTCCAGCCCCCAAAGGTGGAACCACTCCTTACCACATTGGCTTCCATTCTTGACATTTCAGCCAGCTCCTGCACTAGAAGGGCAAGGCAGCCACAGGGCAGCTTGGGAAAATGGGAGGTGTGGCTCCTTCATATCAAGCCATCTCCAGGAGCACAAGATTTCCTGTTCTGTGAAACAACCCAGAGTAGGGACTCAGAGGCCATCACTGAAGCTTCACCAAACAAGCCCTCTGCAGAGCCACTGATAAAACCAAGACCTCTGATGTTTCAGGGAAGAAAAGCTGCCATCACCTACCAGTCTTCTCTGAACCTAGACCTTTAAAGGTTATGTTTCAGACTTGCTGAGAGAGCTTAGCCAACCAGGGAACTTCCTGGGCTCTACAGTTTCCTGAGGCAAAGCTTGACAGATGCAGTAGAGAACCATTTGGTAGTTACAAAAAATTCATGGGAGAGAAAACTGAAGGTACCACCCAAGACCAAACAATTGTTCTTAAATATGCAAGGGGGTCAGGAGAATCAAGAGCCAACTCGTGCTAATATCAGTCTACTGGGCTACAGGGAAAAGAGCTTTGTGTGGTTGTCATGCATCATCCACCCCCAACCACAAGCGTTCTACCACTGAATGGCACCTCCAGCCCCAAGAGCATCAATTAAACAAAAAACCTTGGCTTAGCTAGCTATAGCTTTGTAGCCAAAGGCAAGTCATTTAACCTTCTTGAATGCTCGTTTCTCAATCTGTAAAAAGGGGACACAAAAAAAGATGCCACTCTAGGTTATATACCCTTAGGATCAGTGAAACTGGGGGTTTAAGGTACTCAAATGTAAAACATAAATGGGGTAGGGTCACTTCTGACTGTATTTTCTGAAAATTTCATTTTTTAAAATTTTTTTATGTGTATGTCTGTATTGCCTGAATGTAGGGTAAGCACACCCATGTCATGCAATGCCCACCAGAGGACAGAAGAGGCTGTCGGATCCCCTGGAACTGGATTCGAACCCGGGTAATCTGCAAGAATATTCAGTGTTCTTAACCACTGAGCCATCTCTCCACCCCCGGAAAATCTCATTTTTAAGTTAACATACAAAGTAAAACTCCTAACTGCATTCTTCACAGGTGCCCTTGCTGCTGAAGAGGGGCAGCCAGAGCTATGGACTGCCTTGTCCATCAGACACCAACAGGATAGCCTGAAGGTGCTATACAAGGAGTCAGAAAGTTGTGCTTTTAAGGAACTGGCACAACAGGACAGGACCCGAGCACATTTTCCTAAGGAAGCTGCACATCACTACTTAACAGAGACACACTAAGCAGGTGGTCACAATGTGTTCACTATCTTGGCTCAAGGCTCCATGAGTTTGAGGATGGGCAGAAAACAGCAGCACCAGCACAGGAAGGTGAGGGACAGGGTACCATTGGTTGCAAAGGCAGACTGGGGATGTGTCATAAGGGCTTGGAATGCTTGGGTGAGAAGTCACTGGGAAGCTCAGGTCTGGTTCTGAATAGGGGGGTAGACTGGACTGGCAATATGGACTTGGCATTTCTCTTCTACTCTAAGACAAGGTGTCACTATGATATACAGAGAGAAAGGGAGCTGGAAAGTTAAGGGCTTTGTCTATGGCCAGGCCCTCAGTGGCTCTACAACAGTAAGTGCTTAAAGTCTGGTCCAAGTTCTGCTGCCTGAATCTCATGCGCCATCTTCTTGGTTCACTCCAAGCCTTTTATCAAAGTCCTTCTGTGCCTGGCTTCTGGCCACAAGTTCACTGAACAGTGCTGCCCACTTCAGTCATTGCAGCCAATTCTGTTTCATCTCTAAAGACTCCAGCTGAACCTAACCCTCAGAGCTCCTATCAAACTAATAATCCTACTTATCTGGTGTTTAAACTTTTAAAAACTGTCCTGCTAAAAGACTCCACAGTTCTCCAGCCTGCAGGGCCCACCACAATGGCCCGACCCCATCTTCTCTGCCCTCTCCAAGCTCAAGTACAGTACGGCCCAGTGCACATTTGGCAGCCTCTGTCCAGGGCCACACTGCCGTCCTGTCAGTCCTCTGCAGCCCCCCCCATCTGAGCTCCAGCCCGTTCTGCCGCCTCTGCAGGACGCTGCAACGCCCCTTCACCCTGCTCATCCCAGGCCGCTAAAGACGGGAAATAACCAGTCTGCACTCAGCCGGGCCTCTGCCCAGCACAGTAAGCACTTGGCCACCCGCGGAACTGAGGAGCTGGAGGTGGACACCAACTTCGCTCCGAGGCCCCGCCCCCCGTGTCCCCGCAGGAAGGCACTGCCGGATCGCTGCGGCTCCGCACCTCGGCCCCTCCGCGGCGGTGGCCGGCTGTTCGCGCGCGGTCTCCGTCTCCAGACCCGAGCTGCGCCGAGAAGGGCCTCGACCTGGAGGCCCTGGGCTGGGGCCGAACTTTGCCCGGCGGATTCCGGCGCCGAGTGCCCGACGGAGGCCGCGAAGCCGGAGCGGCCCCGGCGGCCTGTTGCGGGCTCTCAGGACGCCCCCTTCCCCGCCACCGCGACCCGGCCGGGTCAAGGTCGGCTACGTCCTCGCCGCGCGTCCAGCGGCCCGTGTACCCAGGACCCGGTCGGAGCGTGCAGGGAACCCAAGGCCGAGGCGGGCCCTGGAAACGGAGCTGCCGGAGTAAGGAGACCGGGGTCGGACTCGGCCCCCACTGCCGGGGCACTCGGCGAACAACTGCGCCTCGGGACTTAGTTTCGCCGGGCCAAAGGGGGCGGACAGCGGCGACTCCCGCGAGAACTCGCACGGGAACAGGAGTCGCGGGCTCCGCACAGCGTCCGGCACCGACACCCGGTTACCGGCGGATGGCACCTTCCACACCCGCCGCCCCATAGGGCTCACCTCAGACTCCAGCTCCGGACTCACCTCGGCCCCTCCTACCTGCGGCCCAGCCTCAACCGCCCTCACTTCCGCTGACCCGCCCCGCCCCCGGAAGCGATCGTCTGCAGCTGCGCAGATTCCCGGCCCCGCACGGGGCGGGGGAGGGGCGAGGCAGCGCGGCCTGCGAGTGGACACGCCTCCTGGCCATGCCCGGCTCCCGGCCAAGCCCTGCCAACCCTCCCCCACGTACACCCCCCCGCAGGTGCCCCTACGGCGCAGCTCCCTGACAGCTGACTTCTGGAAGCTGTGGTCGGTGCCTGAAATAGCGGTGCCGCCCTCCTCACCCCTACTGCCAATCTACGATCCTCGTTCTGGCATTTCAGCCTTCCCTCTCTAGTCTGGACTCCGTCCCACTTCCTGCTTTCCATGGACTGTGCGTGTATGTGACAGTGATTCCCTAAGATTGTAAAGCAACTGAAAAATTCTCATCTAGCCACGACTCCCTACAAAGTCCCCAGCAAAAGTGGACACTGTCTTAGACCTCCACCTTCCAGTGCTTCAGAGTAGCTTTCTTTTTTATATTTTTTTAAATATTTTTTATTTATTATTTTTATTTTATGTACATGTATGTATTGCCTGCATGTAGGTAAGTGCACCCGTGTCATGCAGTGGCTGATGAGGACAGAAGAGGCCATCGGATCCCCTGGAACTGGAGTTACCGACAGTTGTTAGCTGCCATGTGAGTGCTGAGTGCTGGGATATGAACCCCGGTCTTCTGCAAGAACAGTCGGTATTCTTAACCGCTGAGCCATCTCTCCAGCCCCACTTTCTATTTTTCTTTTATTTCAAAAGCCCTCTCTCTCTCTCTCTCTCTCTCTCTCTCTCTCACACACACACACACACACGCACACACACAGCATGTTCAGTTTGTTTCGTAGATGGGTGGATGGCACTGGGAGACTCCTTCCAAGCTCACAAGCCTATCCTGGCTCGGTGCTCAAACCTTCCCTGTCATCCATCTCCATGACATCCAGTTACTGGAACACATTTCCTCCTCGTCCTCAGCACAGCTTTGCTTGGTTCCCTGGCTGCAGTCCCTTGCTCCTGAAGCCTGTAATCTCTATGCCAGGGACAAATCTCTTGGCTTTGTGGGTGGACAGCCTATGGCAGTCATAGCAGGCCCTACGCCCAGAACTTGCCTTACTACGCCCATACTTTCCTTATTTTCCTGCTGTGATCCTCTTAGAATTACAATTGTGTTACTCAATAACTGGTACTCTGAGAAATGTGTCCTTAGGTGACTGGGCTATGTAAACATCCTAGGTGTACTTACACAGACCTAGACGATGACTGTACTACATACCCAGGCTGTATGCTCCAGGCTGCAAAGCTGCACAGCATGGTATTGTACTCTATGTGTGGCAGTTTATCACAAGGGTAAATAGCTATCAGTGACAAAACCACCAGTGTAGCACATGACTATTTTTAAATTTTTGGCATATTTCTTGCACTTTATTTTGTACTGGTCCCCACAAATTACATAAGTGGTTGTGGCCAAAGACCTGAGGGTCAGACCATCTATCCAATCCCCTACTACATTCAAATGATGAAAGCTGATCTCAAGGTCCAGCCCTCTTTCCAGGATGGCAAAATGTACTTGAACCATCATTTCCCCCTCCTGGCCAATGACAGAGAGTGCACATCTACTGTCTAGCCAGAGTACACATGCCCTACTCAGATTCCTGTGTGAAAAGAGCAGAACTCCCTAACTTGGAAATTTACTTCCCCAAGCCGATAATTGATACAAGGTACAAAAGGTTTGGCTCTGCAATGTGACATGTTTGCAAGCCCTCTCTGGATCACAAGGATAGGCTTTGGCATTCTGTCCTTCTCAGCATTTTCTCTTACCCTTCTTTAACTCAACCCTTCTTTTTACAGGTCTTAATTTTTTCCTTTACATTTATTCTCTGTGTGTGTGTGTCTGTGTGTGTGTGTGTGTGTGTGTGTGTATGTATGCATGTGATGCATGTACCATGGTGCCCATGAAGAGGTCAGGGGACAGCTTCTGGGAGTTGGTTCTCTCTACCATGTGGGACCCACGGATTGAACTCTGGTCATCAGGCTTGACAACAAGCAGGCTTGACAACTTCAGGATCATTTTTAACACAAAGTACCAGATCCTCAAGTATATATTACATGGTCTATTACAAACATACCTTGGGCAAGTCACTCATGCCCTCTGATTACAGGCCCCAAAGACATCCCACCTCAAATGTGTCCATGTCACAGTCCCTTGTCCATTTCCCAAGAGAGACAGCAGTCAGAAGGACAGAATTAAACATCCTGCTCAAAGGAAAAGCACTGAGCCATCTTAGCCTCTCTGATTTATTATAGGACATGTTGGGGACAGAGGAACCAAGAGGCAGAGGGGTGACAAAAGCACATCTGGAGATGGGTAGAGGTGTAAGATGAAGACTTGGAAAGCCCAAGCAGTCAGTGCTTTACATAGGACCAGAATTGTTCAGTGTGGAGTCTGGGTCTCTGGTGAGAGAACTAATGTACCCATGCCTAGGAGACAGTGCAGATTGGGAAGGGCTCAGGTGCCCTCTGTCTCTGTAGAGGTCATGGCAGCAGTGCCTTTTAGGACAGTGAACCTGCAGAGCTGTTGGCTTCCTCCCTGTTTGGTATGGAGATCAGGGGACATGATAATTTAAAAAAACATTCCCATCACAGGAAGACGAGGCAGGGGTATAAAGAAAGCACCTCCATTGGAGTCAAATATGGGTCTGAATCACAACTCTAGTACTCTGAGAGGCTCTGGGAGGTCACTTTGCTTCCCTGAGACTCAAGAGTTTTCATCTGAAAAATGGGAACAATTTTCCACCTCACAGGGTGTTGTGAGAATTTAAAGAGGGAAAAAAAATTGTGATCTTAGCAAAGTGTCTCAGAGCCAAGGCTCTTGGAAACAAGCTGCTGTGGGGCAGTGGCAGGCAGGAGAGCAGGTCTAAGGGACAGTCTGCCTGCCTTCTTCCTCTACCAGGTTTAAAACAGAGTCCCTGGTGGGGCAAGGGCACAACAGGAGAGAACAGAGCACACGGAACTGGCTGATGACGTCAAGGCCTTAATGAGATATAAGTCCTAGGCTCCTCCTGGGTCTGTGTGGAGGGCAGGTAGAGCTGGGGGAGTACTGGTCCTCAGAGGACTGCTTCTAGAAACCTGGAGGAGCATGAAGAGAGGCATATTTCTTCCCACATGTGCAGCTGCGAGAGCATCAGACTGGATCCATCTGGGATTTCAGACCCAGCCGTCATGGGGCTGCTGCTGGGGGAAGGCTTTACCCTGTCTTTCTCCTCAGCACTCAGATTATTTTAAAAAAATACCTATAAACTGTGAGAAAGTTCATATAAAAACACTTTGCTGCATGTATAAAAGAGAGACTGACCATGGTCAGCGGCTCAGGATGTGGACCAAGTCCCCGAGTTGCCAAGGGGAGTTGGAGCCTCCCAGTGGTAAATGAGCAGTTCTGGGATCCCCTGGTGGCCAGGACGGTGCTGGCTGTGGGGAAGGTTGTGTTCTTTGCCTAGGATATCCTTCTGTGAGTGGGGGTTGGGGTAGGAGGTGTCATGAGGATGCTGGCTCCAGCAGTCCTGCTCTGACTCTGCTAGGGCAGATGGCAGGAATGCCTCGGTCCCCAGAACCCCCTTGGTAAAACACAACCTACTTCATAGCAAACGTCCCCAACTCCCCAAACAGACCTGGGGTCTGGTTACTGGGTCAGTAGAATGCTCTGGAGAGCAGCAGTCAGACCGTGTGGTTTCCTTCTGCAGGAGGGCTCTGCACATGGGCTCCAGACAGGTCTCCAGCTGAGAATGATCCCAGCTGGGGACACTAGACACAGAAGGCTGCTGAGGGATGGCCAGGATGGAAGGCTCCAGACAAACAGGCATAACTGCAGCCTGGCCCCTTGGCCATACTCCTTGATTCCTTTGGGTGGGGCCACCTTGTCTTTCCAGCCCACTCTGCTAAGGTCTTCACAGAGACCCTGGACTATGTCACTGGGTAGGAAGTCCAGGGACATCACCCCAGGTCCTGTTTTGGGGGTCTCTAAGAAGCTTCTGGAGCCGGGTGGGTGGGGAAGAGCTGACAGCAGCAGCAAACTTGGTTCATTGACTGGGTCAGGCAGGCCCCATCGTCTATCCACTATCACTCAGGCTAAGCAAGGGTGGCAGGTTTAGTTGAACTTGGACCCTGAAAGGTAGCCTGGGAACGAGGTGAGGACCATCTCTAGTCTGAAATGGCCCGAGGGCACTTTGGCCTCACGATCTGTGGGGACTGTCCACTAGATTTCCACTGGGTCCAGGTTTCCTATGCTCTCTGCCCACTAGGGTTGGAGGAGGGGCAGGCCTCGCCGGAGTCCCTCCTTCAGGAACTGCATGTAGGTGGCCGTGGAAGGGTCCTCAAAGTTGGATGAGAAGCTGAAAACGTTGTTCTCCACGTCCTCAGGCTTCATGGAGGTGATGTCCAGGAAGTAGTTGGCGTTGATGTGGTGGACCTGGGGGAAGGGCTGAGTGAAGAGAGGCCCTAGGCACATTCCCTTCTGCCTCAGCTCACACAGGGCCCTCTGCTGAGGATGTGTCTTCCCCCTACCCCCCACCCCGACCTTAGCAACTAAAAGAAAACCCATCTTTCAAAGTCACCTTTTTCTCTGCCCCTCTGATCTCTGCCTGCAAATGGCCTCTCTGTCCTCAGGACCCCTGAGCTCCAGTCAAAGTGCCCAGTGCTCAATATGTATCCCAGTCCTCAGTGTGCATACCGAACCTTTTCCGCTCCATTTGACCACTTAAGAGCACAAGTCGAGTCCCTTGCCTTTCTACAAAGAGCCTGGCAGAGTGGGTGCCCAATGAGGGAACAAATGAGGGGGCATGGATGAGCAAACCAACTCGTGGATGAAGGAGATCTATGCCAGACAGAGTGCCCCAGCATCTTGTCCACTCAGCTTCATGACCCCAGGGCCCTAGCCAGGACAGGCTCCATAGAGTGGGAGTCACCTGTCTGTCCCTCAGGCCTTTCCTCCCTGGGCCTACTCTCACCTCAGTTTGGGCCGGCAGAAGCCTCAAGCGCATTCACTGCCTCTCCCTCTCCACCCAGCCCTCACTGAAGTCTCCTCAGCCCCAGCTCCTGCTCCTGGCTACTCCCACCTAAAGGCCTCAGCAGCTCATCCTCCTCCTCAGCCCTTCTTCCCACATGGACCACCTTGAGATTGAAAATGGGGCAGTTGCTCAGAGCTGGAGCCTCTTTGGCTCACAGGTAGCCTGTTTTCAAAACCCACTGCATGCAACTGCATCTTTTAAGGCCAAGTCCCCAAGCCTCCTAAGCCTCACTTTCCTAGTCTGAAAACAGGCACATCTTCCAAAGCTGCTGTGCCACAGCACGAGGCCCTGTAAGCAGCAGCCCTCAGCGGGGTTCATCTGAAATCTTGGCTCAAGCCAGGCCTTCCTCTGGTCTTCTGCCTTCCTCAAGGCTTCCGCTCCTCCCTCTGCCGCCACAGGGCTGGCTGCAATGGTCTGGGGAGACTTCCCTCCAGCCAGGCTTTGTTCACTGAACTGACAGGTTCATATGGGGATGTGACCCCAAATGACCCCAGTGCTGCTGGACTAAGTACTTTGCTATGCAGTCCCCAAAGCATTCCTGAGGCCCTCTGCTCACCATGCGATAGGGATGACCAGCTCAGACCATCTGAGATGAACTCAGACCAGAAGAGCCCACCCCTCATGTCCCTGCTCCCTGGGGCTTACCACAGTGCCATTGGGCAGGCAAATCATCATCTCTACAGGGAAGCTGTACTTCTCCAGGTGCAGGCCCGCAAGCTGCCTGTGTAGGGGGTTCTCCTGCTGGTTCTGTGGGGACAGTAGCATTTCCTGGTACTTATCTGGGCTCAGTGCTGTCTTGGGGACCGCCACAGCCCACCACCCTCACCCACTCACCTGCAGGTCCTCCAGCTCCTTCACCAGGGACCAGGTGCTGATGAAGCTCTCGTTCAGGAGGGTGAGGATGGGCGGGCTTTCCAGGACAGTCTCCCGGAGAGTCCGCCCTGAACCTGCTCAGGGTGAGGACAGAGGGTGAGAGGGTCCCCAATCTTAGAGACCTGGGTTTGGCCAAGCCTCATGGGCTGAGGAACATCTCTGCACCCAGGTGAGATCACAGATTGAAAAGTAGATGCTAGCTAGAAGTGGTGGCTCGTGCCTGTAAAACTCGGGAGGCTGAGGCAGAAGGATTGCCATGAGTTCAAGGCCAGTCTGAGCTACAAAGTAAGACTCCGACTCAAGAAACCAAAAAAAAAAAAAAAAACCAAAAAGCTCCCCCCAAACTCCAAAGAGTAGATGCTGACATCCTAGGCTGAGACTGAGGGTAGGGGTGGGGGTCTACCTGGCCCAGGGCTTGTCAGCAGTGACAGCTTCCTAAATCCATTTAGCTCTCTGTCCCTGTGGCCTTTACACAGCCAATTTTTCTACCTAGAGCCCTCCTCCTCCTGTCACTTGATAAACCCCTTCAAAGTCTCAGCTTAAATGTCACTTTCTCTAAGAAGCCTTCCAGACCCCCAGCTACAGTCCTGCTACTTGGCCTTTCCTTATATGGCACTCACCACTCTTGGACTTACCCATCCCACGTCTACATGTCTACACCACACTGGGATAGTGTGTAGCCACTGCAGATCCCCCTAATGTTTGTTGAGTGACTGGATGAGGGCAGGCACATTGTTTTCCTTAGCTTTGAACACACTGCTGGATACCCAAAGAACTTTCCAGTAGGTCTTTGGCAAGCTTTCTGAAGACGAAACCCAAGCCTAGCCTCTGGAAAGGTTTTCTCCCTCATTTCTCAATTCTGCTTTCTGGGGTACAAGATACTTTCACACCCATCTTCATGACTCTGGGGGTTAGGTATGCTCTCCCCCTTTCTCTATTAAGAGAACTGAGGATAAGGGAAAAGAAGTTGCATGGTCAAGTCACTAAGCTAAAATGGCTGTTTGAACCCCTTTGCTTGGCCATTCCGTCTACACCTGGCACCATCCTCTGGGCTCAGCACAGAAACTGTAGGCCTCTGCCCTGGGTGGCCCGAGTCCTCATGGCTCCAACAGGACAGTCCTATTTGTTTCGGAACCAGTTCCTCCCAGGGTGTAAGGTCCACTTCTTGCTCTTAGATCTGGCCAGGGGCCCCCTTACCTCAGCAGGACTGGTCGTCCAGGGCTCCCCACAGCAAGATTGAATGCAATAGTTTGTTCTCGGCCTTGGCTCTGTCAAAGGCCTCTGTGAATGGCAGATAGGTGACCTGCGGTCAAACCAAGACAGAGAAGCTACTGTGAGTGGCTGGGGTCCTGTTTGGTGGTGTGCACATGAAGTATTTACCCATGTGGGTTTGTGTGTAGGTACATTTTGTGCATGTGCACATGCGTGCGTATTTGCACACATGCAGTTTGTATGAGTACAACTGAGCCTGGGGAGCCTCCTTTAAGTTTAGAGTGACAGAGAGGAGCTCCTGTGGCCTGAGCTGGCCCTGTGCCCTAACATTCCAGGCCAGTGCCCACAGTTGGACCACAGCTCCCAGTCTTGGCCCCACAAGCCTCACCCCACCTCACCTTCTTGAAAGGATACATGGTCACCTCCAGGCGCCGGGCGGCCTCCTCCCAGCTCAGCTCCTGCTGCCACTTGATCTCCTCAAACACAAACTGGAGGGGCTCCCCTGAGGGTAGGTGGCTGTCAATCAAGTTGCCATCCTCATCCAGAACCACAGAAGGCACTGAGGGGCCCACAGCCTCCAGCTCCATCTGGGTAGGAAGTCAGTGGTGAGGGGTGGTTCACAGAGGGGCTCTGGGAGACTTTTAAGGATGCTTTACTCTATAGAGCTAAGGAGACGGGGCCCTGGGCAGGGCCTTACGGCTGAGCCTATCTGGGAGGGGCCCCTGAGTGCTCACCTGGGGTATGTAGCCAATGTCAACTTCCATATTGCTGGTCTCACTGGCCCCATACAGCCACTCCATGTCCACATTCAGGGACCTGTGGAGAGCCAGGGCAGAGCAACGTTACCATCAGAGCCCGTTAGCCACATTTCAAGTGTCATCTAGCTTAACACAGCAGCTGTTCTATTTACAGATGAGGACACTGAGACTCCACAGGTGTCACTGGGATTTTGACAGCAAAGTCTGGGCCAGCCCTGAACTGTATGCATAATGCATGTACTGCTCACAATCTTTCAAGGCAGAGAGATGGTCAGTGCCCTGCTGCAGGGCACAGGGTGGGCAGCAGTGAGGACTGGGCAGGTGCTCTTTAAGGGACCGCAGAAGTCTGGCCTGATTAAGTGTGATCTGCAGGTCTGCCACCTGGGGGAGCTCCAGGACTGCCAACCAACAGCCTCTGCTGCGGGTGACTGGACGCCCTCAGAGGACAGCAGTGTCCCTGTGGCCTGGTTCTCAGACACGGGTCCAGGAGCAGCAGGCCCTGGCTGGTCATCTGCTCCTGCTATTCAGTCCCCTCCTCCTCAACACTGAAGCAAGTGTGCCAAGGTCAGCTCCTCCCCAGGACTAAGCTAAACCCATGGAGGCAGGCACACCAGCATGGCCTCACTCTGCCTCTCTGAGGAGGGTAAGAAACCACTTGGTGCTTTTTCAGGCTCTCTCAACCATTCTGTCACCTCTGCCCCATGGGTCAAACAGGCCAGGAGTCAGCCTCCTACCTGGCAGGTGGGGAAATGGGCCTAGAGAGGGCCATGCCTTGACTACAGCCTTGTAGCCCATTGTTGCTTAACTGGGGGCCTCAGGGCTCCCAGCCCAAGTCTGTCCTTGCACAGGCCTGTTGCAAGTCTACTTGCTATCTGGAAAGACTCTCTTGAAGTCAGCCGCCTCTGTTCTGCTAATAGGGGCCTGACCCTGAGCAGGCTGAGAGGTGGCACAGCATTGTCTCAAAAATCCCTCCAAGATTCTATGGTAGAGGCCTTCCCTTAGGCCCCTACCTGTGCTGTTCCCTCTCCTCCCCAAGGGCTTTGACTAGACGTCCGTTCCTCTAGGAAGCCTTCCTGGACCCCCATGGGCTCTGCCCAGCTGCTGGCCTTCTCAGTGACATGAGTAGGCTAGGGTTACAGGTCTGTCTGTCTGGGCCTGTCATTGGAGGGCGGAGATACCAGCTTCAGGGAGGGTCTGCTGGCTGCTGTGCTGGTTTCCCACAGAGGTGAGGGGAATGTCTGGGAGATGTTTGTGAGAAGACGAGGGGACCCCTAAACTGTCTTACACTGCCTCCTCCGGGTCAGCACCAGGCCCTTCCCAAGACGTAGCGCTGGGGAATAGGGAAGTGGTTTTTACCACTTTACTGAAGGGTCTCCAAGCCCCCGACTTCTGAGCTCCTGTAACTGAACAACAGGTAGACGCAGGTTGCCAAGGCTGTGCCAGGGCCAGCTCCTACCTGTGATTGGGAACGAAGAGCCGGAAGTCACGGATGTGGGTGGCATCTTTGGAGAGGATGATGTGGCCTGTGAACTGGCCAGGGGAGAACCAGAAGGGGAAGTCAGGAGGCTCACTGAGCTGGAACTCGGCATGGATCCTGTGGGGGAATGGGGGTCTGCTAAGCCTGAACCCCTTCCTACCCTATTTCACCCAAAGTAGGGACAGGGAGAAAGCAGGAGGCCCTCCAAAGGCCACCACCTGGATGCCTCTGTCTCTCTACTGCCTTCCTTGGAAGCCTTGCCTGACCCTCCCCTGAGCGCCTTCTCCAGGGTGTGCTTGACCCATATCCTGGTCCTCTGTGTGGATGATACCACTGTTGGCCACCAGCCAGTTGCAGTTCCAGGCTAAGCAAGTTCTAGACCCTTCTCACCAAATCCTCATGTGTCTCTGACCCACAGATAAGGAAACTGAGGCTCAGAGAGTCTGAGCCCACAGGGAGGGAGGTGATGAAATTGGGGATCTCTGACCAGGCCCTCCCTTCCCCTTCCAGTCACTGTAGGTACCACTCACCTGAACATCACAGTATAGTAGGAGTCACTGATGGCGGTCAGGCAGGCAACAGTGCCCTGAGGGGCAAAGCGGGTCTTCACAAAGGGGCGTGGGTGGAACATGCTTAGCAGCCGATGGATGATGACCTGGGGACCAGGGACAGCAGTGGAGACCCAAGATGACTTGCTGGGCCCTGGGGTTTGGATCTGCAGGCTGAGGGTCAACCCTAGACCCGAAGACCCAGGGGATGGGGAGACCCAGAGGGAGGCAGGCCTGGTATTTGGTGTAGCCAAGAAGGGCCACATGGGCTGGGTCCAAGTGAAGGCTGCATCCAGCCCTGCTGCCCTTACCTCCTTGCCCTTGGGTGGTGGTGGATAGAAGCGGTTGTTGGACAAATAGCCTGTGAAGACGCTCAGCTCACTGGGGATAATCCACCAGGGCTGCCCCAGTTCCTGACCTCTTGGGGGCAAGAAGGGCCGGAAGTGTCGAGCAGCAAACACTGCACTTGGTGAGGCTGCTGTTGTCCAGTTGCGGAGGCCCGACAGTGCAAGGCGGGAGACCTGGGACAACAGGAGCCAAGACTCTAGGTATCTGCCCATGTCACTTAAGCAACCGCCAGACTGTAGACTGGGAGAGCAGAGGGAGTGTGGGGAGGGTCATGACCTGATGACAGCCACAAGCTTAGCCCTGTCCTGCCAGAGAGAGGCTTCTCTCTTTCTCTCTCCCTCTCCCATCCCCACCCCTCTCTCTCATACATACACAGCACCCCCTCTCCCCAACTCCAGGCCCAGTTGAGGCCAGGGTTGTTTGGGTTGTTTGCTGAGGGCAGCTGAGGAGCTGGAGGTGCTATCCAGCCTGGAACAGGGTGGTGGAGCTCTGGGCCTCATACAAGTTCCAGCTCTATCATCTGCTAAGCTCCTGACCAGCCCTGGGTGCCATGTCTGCTCCAGGCTGCATGACCCCATCTATGGGCCTTGCTTCATACTCCAAACCCCTTAGTCTCCTACAGACCAGAGTTGACCAGAGTTTGGATTTATGTTGAGTCTGATGGGGGAGGTGGGTGAAAAATTTGGAAATCTCTGGAGTCAAGAGCAAAATTTCAGGGACGTGGAAAGGTCACTCCTGGAAAGAGCCCTGTCTCCTGTCACTGGGCCCCTGAGCAAGGCCTTCCCTCACTAGTTTCCTCTGGCTGAAGAGCAAGTATGAGCAGGAGAGGAGAATCAAAGGCCACAGGGCTATCTGCACTGCACATGTCTGGTGCTCTGAGGCAGAATCCTAGGCTACGAGGCCCCTGTTACAGCTCCAGCATCGGTAGCTCCTCCCTGTGTAGAGCCCTGAGACCCTCTTCATTCACCCGCTACCCCCCAATCCCTCCAGACCCC